GAGACTCCAACTCAAAAAAAAAAAATACTATAAGAAAGAGATTAGCAGTAGTGGGAAACTGCCAGGAGAGGGAGAGTGGGATTGGCAGTTGAGGGAAACTGCTGGGGGAGAGGGGCACACTTTATCAACAAAGGTACCTACATAATGAACATTTGTGTACCTAACCCTGAATTGTACCCCACATATTTAAAATAAAAAACACTTTTTAAAAGAATTTGTTTTTCCTTATAGATGAATTACTCATCAGTGTAAACTTTTCTAAAGTCACTTTTATTTTCAGCCATCTTAGGCACTGATCCAATAAATGACTTTAGATTTGGGATGGTGCTTTTATTTCATACATCAGGAGTATGTACTAAAGTTAGACTTTAAAACACTCTCAAAAACTGTGAAGTCATGCCAAGTCTTTTTGGCTTAAAAAAATGGCATTCTTCAAGTTGAGGAAATACCTTTTAAGGATTTGGATTGGATGACTTAAGGTTCCCTTGATACCAATTCTCTCCCTCATGGCTTATTTTAGGGTTGTCATTCTCAGTTGGAGCAGCAGCAGAGTCAGGAAGTAACACATTTCTGAGACTATAGCTCAGGAGTCCCTTCTGGCAGACAAATTCGCAGTGGATATGGAAGAATTCCCTAGAAAATATGTATTCCCAGACGACAGACTGTAACTGATCTTCCTTTGTACCATGATGCGGGCCCATGTCACACCAACATTAGGGAGACATTCTGGCAAATGAGGCAACTGATTAAGCACATGGCTCAAGGTTTTTATTGCCAAAAACTTGTACTTTAAATGCACTATTAGGGGGTCCCACAACTGTAAGAAGTTGGTGCCCACCTACCTAATTTCTTCATTTTTCATTTTATTTTATTTTTTTAACATATGGAACACTTCCACTACCTAATTTCTAGGAAAAAAATGTATCTTTTGCCTAATATCTTACAATTTTAAGCATACTTTTTTTGAAAGTTAAAATGGCAATTCAGAATTGAAACAACAGGCAGAATTTGGAATGCATTTTTGACAGAAATTGCTTTTTCTTCCCCCTACTTTTATCTGATGTTCTTTTGGGCTGTTGGAAGGCAGGGCATCTGATTGTCTTTGGCAAGTTTCTGTTGTCAGTTAATCATATTATGAGCACAGACAAAAGGGAAGAAAATGGAAATAAGATTTGTTATGGTGGGAGGAGTCCTGCTAAGACTTGTCTGTTCCTGAGCTGAGATATGCTCACTTACCTTAAATTTTTCCTTAAACCACATTCTGAATTCCAGTTTGTAAATCTCTACCTTATTTCCCAAGTTTCAGCTCATACTTATAGTGTAATCTGGTGGATATAGATAACTTTCTTGGCGGACTTGAGAAAATCTGGAGTGTCCAAGGATCTGAAATGAGTAGCATGGGTGCCCAGGTACCTGAATCCTGTGGTAGTATTTCTTTTTTCAGAGAAAGAGAGAATAAGATGGATAAAGAAAGAAACACTCCATCTTTGCAGCCTTCAGGAGAGGACAACTTGAAAGAGATTTGGGAGTTTAATTTTTATATAAAAGCAATCAAACCACCCAAGAAAGCCCATTCTCAACCAAAGGTATTTCAGAATTACCTGAAAATGTATCTAAAATTATGTAAAAATTATCTAGAATTATCTTGGCCCTGTCTGGTATGCATACCCTGCTACTAATTGCTAGTAGCAGATACTACTTGTTTAAGAGAGAAAATATTTCAAAAAGTGTGGTCCCTAGAAACCAAAGTTCCACGGAAGAATATTTTGTATTTGTCAAGTTTGGTTCTGATTGGATGTCAAATTTCCTGTACACAATGGATTAACTTAGAAATTAGTTGACTCAGGCATTCTCAAGATGTACACCTCTTATTATTTGCATTATTTGTGTGCTTTCTTTTATTTTCCTTTGAATGATGCCTTGATATATATTTAGCTGCTTATAAGAATCAATATTTTAAAAATCAGATAAATTTCTTTAAAATTAAAAAATTTCAGCAAAATACATTTTAACATGTATTGTGATTATTAAAAACATATTACATCACTATAGAACATTTAAGATAATGGAAAAATATAATTCATAAATTCACCACTTTAGTACAACAAACCTGATTAGTGTTTGATATTCTTTATTCGATTTTTCACATGTATACCTATATAAAGTAATAGTCGATGAGTAAATACAATTTTGTGCTTTTGTGACATAAAATGAGAGAAAACTCAGACTAAATTGTTTCATAGATTTTCTATTTTAATGAATTTCTCATATCTATTATATGAATCCAAAATAGTTTATTTCTTCTATCATTGGGAACTTAGACTACTACCCATTTTTCACTCATATGTATATTCAAATGCACATGAATATATACATATTTTTATTATTTAAGATGCTTTCACTTTTAATTAAGTTTTGCCATGCTCAAAAGATTTAAATTAAATTCAACTACACTTATCATAGCCAACACGCTGTCTGTGCTTTCCTTGAACCACCTTTCAACACTATTTATCAGTATCATGTTTTCCTGTGTTCCTAGAAAAACAATATGCACAAATATACACTCAAATGCACATGTAAACACATCAAATTATGTAATGATTTTTCGTTGTTTTAATGGAGATTGCAGTATCTGACTGTAGATTATGCCACAACTTGTTGTTTTTTATGTGAAAATGTGGGAAAATAATTGTTAGCTAAAAAGAGAACCAGACAGATATTTTTCTTAAATATTAGCAACAATTTTCATGAAGATAACAATTCTACAACTATATAAAACATAGAGAAATATTGTCTTTACTTTCTTAAAAAGGAATTTAGGATTCATGGCATATTTGTTTAATAGCTAGTAATGATCTCTGATGAAAATCAAAATAAAAACTGCTCAAAAAGTTCTAAAACAAGAGAGGGATTGTCTGCTGATTATGTTTAAAAAAATCAGCATATCACTTTTTGAAAAATTAGACATGAGAAACAAAAACACTTCCTTATTTAAAGTTATGCTGTCATAACGCTAAACTATCTTTTTAAGTTTATTTGTTTTTGCAAAAAATTCTGTCAAACAACCAAGCATCTTATCTAAACAATATAAAACATATTATCTAAATAATATCCAAAAGTTTCAATCAAGTGTTCAGAGAAAACTTGAAGATCGCTAGACACAGCCAAAATTTCTTAAGCTTTTCTGCATATTTTTCACACACTCTAAGATACAGTGAAACTTTTAAAGCTACAAAGGCAAAAACAGGACTTACCTATACATTTTAATCCTTAATGAAGAGGTCCTTTTTTCTGCCTACCCAACAGCTGTGAGATTTCCACTCAAATGAATGACTCTCATGTGTTACCTGTGATCTATGACTGAACACAAAGGAGGAAATCCTATGTAATTAAAAAAACTAACTAGTTAAACAAGTCTGAAGGCAGCAACCTGAACCAATAGTATGATTTATGGAGCAGAATCATAAACAGGGCATTTCACAAATTGGTAAGAATTTCATTTGTTCTGGTAAATTGAGATGAAACACAATTATAGGTGACAGGTATTTTGTGAAAGCCCGAGACTACTTGACATGTCATAGAGTCATTTTTAATGTAAGAGGATATGATACTTTTGTTCATGTTTTTATATTGTCATACACCTCATTCCTTGTCACAACAAGCCAAGGACTTTCAAAATATACTTTGCACACATTAATGGGCACTACCTATGAATTCCTTCATTTCTGTAATTAAATACAGTTTTTTTTTTTCATAATATATGAAACAGATACAGAGAAGTACCTGAGTAGGTGCATAAATTTGTGAGACAAGTAAATAGAATCATTGGAACTAAAATTCACTTTATCTTTTTCCAAATACTGTTTTTTGAAAAAAAGAATTCGAACACACTACAACTAGAAGATGATCCGCAGAAGAAGGTACTATGAGTGCCTATGAAGTTCGGGTAGGAGTTGGAGATACATTTAGAAGGTAACACTGAAGTTAACTTGTGAGAAAGAATGAATGCTAAAGAATTGGAACTTGTAATAAAATTAGATTGGGTTTTTCACCAGTAAATTGTGTAATTTAAGGGGAAAAATATTCCTTCATGAGTCTCATACATCTACTGAGAACATGAGAAGTTGAATCAGTAGGTCTTAGAAAACTCTGTCAACTCTAGAATTTTATAACATTGTCTTGTAAATCACTGATAGGTAATAGTTAATAAATTTGCTCTAGTACTGAGCTTGAGAAGTGATCAATTACTTATACATTTTTCATGTAATGTACAAGCCAGACAACATGGACAGGAATAAGTGGCTATTCTCTACTCTTCCCAAATACATATATTTCATTTTTAAATTTTAGATTCAGAGGTACACACGTATTCATTATCCGGACATATGTATAATGGTGGGGATTGGGTGTCAGGTGGCCCATTCCCCAGCTAGTGAACATTGTGCCCTATAGGTAGTTCTGAACCCTAACCACTCTCCCCCTTTCTCCCTCCCCCTTGATGGTGTCCCCAGTGTCTTTTATTTCCATCTTTGTGACTGTTTAGCTTCCACATATGAGTGAGAACATGTGGTTTGGTTTCCTGCTTCTGAGTCAGCTTACTTAGGATGATGGTCTCCAGCTCCATCCATGTTGCTGCAAAGGCCATGATTTCTTTGTTTCATATGACTGTGTAGTAGTCAATGGTGTGTGTATTCCACATTTTCATTATCCATTGATCAGTTGATGGGTATTTAGGTTGATTCCACATCTTTGCAATTGTGAACTGTGCTGTGATAAACATGAGGGTGCAGTTATCTTTTTTATATAATGACCTCTGTTCCTTAGGGTAAATATCCTGTTGTGGGATTGCTGGATTGAATGGTAAATCTACTTTTAGTTCTTTGAGTCATCTCCATACCACTTTCCATAGAGGTTGTACTAATTCACACTTCTACCAACAGTGTATGTGTTCCCTTTTCTCTGCATCCACGCCAGCATCTATGGTCTTTTGATTCTTTATTAATGGCCATTCTGAATGGTATAAGGTGGCATCTCATTGTAGTCTCAATTTGCATTTCTTAAATGATGAGGATGTTGTACATTTTTTCATATGTTTGTTGGCCATTTGTATCTCTTCTTTTGAGAGATAGCTATTCATGTCGTTTGCCCACATTTTTATGGGGTGTTTGATTTTTTCTTGCTGATTTTCTTGAGTTATTAATAGATTCTGGACATTAATCCTTTGTCAGATGTATTGTTTATAAATATCTTCTCCCATTGTGTAGATTGGCTGTTTGCTCTGTTGATTACCAAATGTAGTTTTCAATCCTGTATCTCATGCCTGATATTCTGCCATTGGTCTCTTTAGCAAAAAAAAAAAAAAAAAATTTGCAAAGTTGTTTAAAAATAAAGTGACCTAAATAAACCATTTTAAATGTTTATTTCAAGTACTTTTGCACAATTATATCATAGTATATAACTTTGTATTATGCTTTTTATACTTAATGTTATTTCATAAGCATATTGCTATTATTAATTTGCATTTTAGTAGCTATTTTTATAACTTTTTATTTTAATATATAATTTCAAACTCATTCACAAATATAGTAACTAGATTTATCAATTATTAACAATTTTAATGCCTGTATTTTAAAGAGTGAGTCATATTACACTAAATGCACTTATTATAGAATAATGGAACTATCTTCTAATGTGAAGTATTTAGATATTTTCTTTTTTATTGTAGATGATTATTTAATCACCATTTTAATTAATTTTAATTAATTTTAATAATCATTGTAGATGATTATTTAATCACCAAAGAAAATCATAGTTTTTCTTTTTCACTCTACTGCTAAATTTTTCCTCAGAATAAATTGAACAGTCTTATTGGGCTAAATAATTTTAACATTTTGATAGCTTTTAAAAATTTACCTTTGTTTTCATAATTTTTTCTAGGATTTGAGGTGTTATCTTCTACTTTAGTTTACAGCACTTTCCCCTAACTGTGCATGCTCTTTTTCTTACTTCTTTGCATTTCCTGGAACACTTAGAAAGGTCTTTTTACCAAGTAGATACTTGGTCAACATATATATTGTTTGAATGTCTAATAATTAATGTATTAGTGCAGATCCTGGTGCCCTATTACTATTCACAACAGAACTTGGGGATGAGTCAGGGGAGTGGCATGGGGAAAAATGAAGTCTGAAAGTGACTTCCTGACTTCCTGCATGTTTGTGATGAGCTCAACACAGAAAGGGAGGTGGGGCAGGAAATTATGGTCTGTGAGGCAAAGGAATTGTTCATAACAGGGGCCAGTTAAAAAGGTGTTGACTCAATCTTCAGATCCTCAGGGAGTGGCAGAATAGGACTTTGCCTATTCTATTCTTAAGGGACAGCCATTGCAAGTATAAAGAAAGTAGAATCACATTATACAAAAAATATGAGAATCCTCCTTCTCCCTGTTACAGGCTTGATTTTATTCTTCCAGTTGAAAAGTCACAAAAGCAAGACAACCAGACTGAAGGAGACTGACAGGAACAGTCTTCAGAGAGATAGTAGAGATCATTTTTTTTGATGGAAGATGAATTATGCATTGTAAGAATGATTAAGTGGTTCTTTTGTCTGCTGAGTTTGAGAGAGAAAGATCATGGTGAAGAGAATATCTCCAAATTATTCAATCTTAAACTCTGGACTTATTTTTCTATTTATCTATAGATATTTATCTGCAAGTATCTTTTAATATAACTAGTTTTGAAGGAAGTATGAATCATTCAATGGAACTCGTCACAACAATATGAAAAACAACCAAAAAACAGATGATCTAAGAAGGTGTGGGCTAGAAGTGTTTTCTGTGAATGTGGCTTTTGTTTAGTCATCACATCAGGACAGCACAGTCATATGGCTATGGTAGGTAATACATTTGTCATAACCTCTCTTGCAGAATTAGTATAAAGATAGAAAAGGAAAAATAATGGATGCATCCACCATTTGAAAGTTACTTAAATACAAATATTTGTATTCATTGAATATGTGTATTTAAAAATTGGATAACAATTGGATTTTGCAAGTGTGACTAAATTTAATTTTGTGTATTATGACTAGTAAGTAGTTAGAGGTAAGGGAACAAGTAGATTCTATCATATTTCAAAGTCTTCTGTCTATTCAGAAGGTAGGATGTAGTAGAAAGAGTATGCTCTTTGGAGTTAGACTATACCATGAATAAAATCTTGACTGTTCTATTTACCACCCAGCAGGCTTCAGCTAGCCCAGCAGGGTTAACTCAATAAAAATCTAGTTAAAATATCATTCCCATGGAGTTGTGAAACTGAAATTAGTCAAATCAAACCAAATGAACTAATGAATGGTCAAGTACCTGGCAAGTTCAGAAGCTGACAGAAGTTGACTTATTCTCAGGATGTGTGTGTGTGTGTGTGTGTGTGTGTGTGTGTGTGTGTGTGTGTGTGTGTGTAGGGATTACAATCGCTAAGGGACAGAGAGCTCATACAGTTTGAGAATGGTTTTGGATGTTTCTAAAATGACCCCCTTCCTAGATTCACATGTTATTTTGCTTTTTCAAATCAATCTTATTTAGGAAAAGAAATCATACAAACAGAGTTTAAGTCTAGTGCTTATTACAAACTGTGATGGCTTTTCATGTTGCCAGTCAGTTATTTTCTTGTGCTTTGCAGTGTAATTTTTTTAACCTTGTTCTAATAGTAGGAGGTCAAAGAAGCATCTTTGTTACAGATACCTTTGTATCTTGTTAATGGAAGAAGTGTGGATAAATCCTTTACGTCTCCCTAAGTTCTCTGCATCAGTCCCCCTTGAGCTACACAGAGTCATTTTCTTCTATTGAGGATAATTTCCACTGTCCTGCAGACATGCACAAGTTTTACACTTGTACTTTTTCTCCATATTCAAAGGAGCAATCAGAGCAAGTAAATATGATACATTTAATAATACTGTAAACCATTTTACCTACTGGCTCATAAACATAACTATTGAAATTATTCAGTATATTCACAGAAAGCTTTTAAGTGATCCTTTATTTGGTCAGTAACCAGAACAGTACAAACACAGATGACAGTCATAAGTAGTATCTATTTTAAGATTGATTGCATTATGAATATATGACTGTTAGTCTTAGCTGGCCCTTCAAGGATGCCCAGCAATAGAGGTAGGTTTCTCTGATCAGTGTCTAGTTTAGTGTTTATAAAAAATGTTCCAAATCTTTTCTACTCTTCCTCAAACATTTGTTTTCCATCCCTTATTCCCTGTCTTTGCTTTCAACAAATGACTTACCTTTCTACTACTGGAGAAAAAAAATAGAAGACTTCAGATGGACACTCCTGCAACTCCCTGTTGTCATACCTACAG